TTGTTTGGCAGGTCCGGGCTGGGGATTCGAACCCACCACCTTAGGTGTATGTGGCTGGCGCCTTAGCCGCTTGAGCCACAGGCGCCAAGCCTACCCACTCTTTTTATGGGGTATCTGTACCTACCCTGTAAATAAGGAAACTGAAATAGGGTGGTTAGCCCAGAGCCACCTACCAGGTAGATTAAAGGCACGACTGGCATGCCCAGCCCAGCCAGGACATCTGACCTCCTACTCTTGGCCCTGTAGCCCCTAGCCCTGGTGGAGGAGATGTGGCTGCTCAGCACGGAGGCTATGAAATCCCAGCACGACTCCGTACCCTGCACAACCTGGTGATTCAGTATGCCTCACAGGGCCGCTATGAGGTGGCTGTGCCACTCTGCAAGCAGGCACTTGAAGACCTGGAGAAGACATCTGGCCATGACCACCCTGATGTGGCCACCATGCTCAACATCCTGGCACTAGTCTATCGGTGAGGGCTCCTCTGGCTACAGTCATCCTGGGGGCACCTGCATCCTTGGAGGCTCCAGCCTGCATGGAACTGAGTCTAGTGCAGGAGAGAGGGTGGGTCTGAACCAGGGAGGGGCTGACACGTGCACTCCAGAGTTCCCAGGAAGTGGTGTTTCTTCAGGCACCAACCTTGAGTGGGTGCTTTGGTGAAAAGTGAGTTTGCCCAGAACACAGAGGGTGGGAAAGAGTCCTGTAGCACACAGCTGGTATGACCAAAGGCCTGGGGACTGGATGGCAGGGCATGTGGCGAGAAAGTTGTGTGGGGCCAGAAGAACTATGAATGGGGTGGGAGTGGAACCCAGCACTGCATGCCCTGGCCAATTGTGAACTCCTGGGGAACAGGAGCTGACCAAGTCTCCCCATCCTCTGGGTCACACTTCATCACACCCCCTCCTCAGTGAATATAGGAGTGACTGTGGGGATCAGAGGCCACTGCAGTAGGGGCTCAGGCTGGAGGAACAACCTTGACCAACCTTGACAGCTCATTGTTTCAGGGATCAGAACAAGTACAAGGAGGCTGCCCACCTGCTCAATGATGCCCTGGCCATTCGGGAAAAGACACTGGGGAAAGACCACCCAGCCGTGAGTGAGCGTGGGTGGGGCCGCCTCCCACCCTGTGCAGCTTTCAGGTCCCAGACTTCCCTGCCCAGCAGGGCCTGGGTCAGGAGCTTCCATTCTTCCCCTTCAGGTGGCTGCAACACTAAACAACCTGGCGGTCCTGTACGGCAAGCGGGGCAAGTACAAGGAGGCTGAGCCTCTGTGCAAGCGGGCACTGGAGATCCGGGAAAAGGTGGGGTCCAGCAGTGGGAGCACTGGGCACATGGAGGGCATAGGTGAGATGGGCAGGTGGTGGGCAGCCCTGAGTTGGTTCTCTGGCCCATCCTAGGTCCTAGGCAAGTTTCACCCAGACGTGGCCAAACAGCTGAGCAACCTGGCTCTTCTGTGCCAGAACCAGGGCAAGGCGGAGGAGGTGGAGCACTACTACCGCCGGGCACTAGATATCTATGCTGCACGCCTCGGGCCTGACGACCCCAACGTGGCTAAGACCAAGAACAACCTGGTGCCTGGGGCTGGGAGGGGTTGGGGGAGGAAGGAGAACAGAAGGCTCAGCTCCTTGGGTCCTGCTCACCCCCTCCCCCCCACCCCAGGCTTCTTGCTACCTGAAGCAGGGCAAATACCAGGATGCAGAGACCCTGTACAAGGAGATCCTCACCCGAGCTCATGAGAAGGAGTTTGGCTCTGTCAACGGTGAGTCCACTAGTGCCACCAGCTTCCAGGCCATCCAGGATGAATATCTCAGATGGGCAGTTCCTCAGGTTGGGCTGACATCCCGCCTTACCTTTGGGTACACATGTGAGCACACAGGGATCACATGGCCCCCTTTGCCTGCCTGTGCCCTGGCTTCCCCCTTCTCCACTGGGTGACTCCTGCTGGCCTGGAGGGTCTGGCTCCAGTTCCTACTCCTGGGTCCCTTAGAGCCTGGCCCATCACTCAGGACTAGTGCACATCCTAGGGCAGGGCCCTGAATGTATAAGGGTCTGCCCTTCCTCCTACCCCAGTCTCAAGTCCCTCACTATAGACCTGTGTCTGGGTCATCTGTGTCCAGAGGTCACCAGTGTTTGGGGTCTGTGTCTTGTTCATCCAATAAAGCCCAGCCCTAGTGTCCCTTCCTTAGACTCCAGTCCTGTGTTCAGCCCTCCAGCAAAGGCCTGTATGGGAGGCCAGTGACCATCCCCTTTCTTCCCTCTCTCGCCAGGGGACAACAAGCCCATCTGGATGCATGCAGAGGAACGGGAAGAGAGCAAGGTAGCGCAGTGAGGAAGGGCTGGGCAGGTTCTGGGGTGGTGTGCAGAGAGAGGGTTGCCTCCCACCTTCCCCACCATTCTTTTCCCCAGGATAAGCGCCGGGACAGCGCCCCTTATGGGGAATATGGCAGCTGGTACAAGGCCTGTAAAGTAGACAGGTAAGGGTCACATGGCTGGGCTGGGGGTTGACACACCTCTCTGTCAGTTCATCTTTCAAGGCCCAGGTCATAGGCCATCTGCCTCAAGAAGGCTCCCTGCACTGGAACAGCCTAACTCTTGCTTGTGGGTCTTCTAGTTTTAGTCCAGGTGGCCCCAAGCGATTTATCCCATGACAGTAGAAGCCAGATGGGAAAGCCTAAGTTCTGGCTGGCCAGATGGTTCTTCAGGGCCTAGTGTGGGTTTCGTGCCAGGGTGGGCCCTGGGCCTGGGGGAACATGGAGTTTAAGAATGTCCTGTTTACAGCCCCACAGTCAACACCACCCTGCGCAGCTTGGGGGCCCTATATCGACGCCAGGGCAAGCTGGAGGCCGCGCACACCCTGGAAGACTGTGCCAGTCGCAGCCGCAAGCAGGTATGGCTCCCTGCTGAAAAGGGTGGCAGGGACTTGTGTGGCCCTGTATGTGTTCCAATCAGGGCCTGATACCCCTGCCCCTTCCTTAGGGCCTGGACCCTGCCAGTCAGACCAAGGTGGTAGAACTGCTGAAAGATGGCAGTGGTGGGCAGGGAGACCGCCGTGGTAGCCGAGACGTGGCTGCAGGTGCTGGGCCTCGGTCTGACTCTGACCTGGAGGAGGCAGGGCCTGCAGCTGAGTGGAGTGGGGTAAGTCTGGGGGCTGGGATGGGCTAGGAGCCCATGTGGCCTAGAGACAAGCCTATTCCCCCACCAGGATGGTAGCGGCTCGTTGAGGCGCAGTGGCTCTTTTGGGAAGCTTCGGGATGCCCTAAGGCGCAGCAGTGAGATGCTGGTGAAGAAGTTGCAGGGGGGTGGCCCCCAGGATCCCCCTAACCCCAGGTGAGCCCCTGTCTTGAGACACCCACCAGAGTGAGCCTCTCAAGAACCACCCAGCAATCTCAGATGAGCCCCTGCCAGAAACCCAGAGTGCTCTCTTATCCCTCTCAGGCCCCACTACTCACCACTCCACTCCAGCCCAAACACCAATGACCCCTTCCTATGTCCCCCTCACTGCCCAGTACCACATTGAACAAGTTCTGGCCATCCTTTTCCCTCAGGATGAAGCGGGCCAGTTCCCTCAACTTCCTCAACAAGAGTGTGGAGGAGCCAGTCCAGGTAGGCATGGCTGGGGACCTGGGCACTGGGCAGCTGAGGTCAGGCACGAATGTGTTCCTGCTGAGTTTCCCAACCATGTCAGTTCATCCAGCAACAGTTCCTGCCTCCATCCCAAGTTGCACTAGGCTGGACAGCTAGGAGACAGCTGACAGGACCCCAGCCTCTGTCCTGGGTGGGCATGTAAGCGGCCAGTGCCAACACAGTACTGTGGAGATGGGCCCTTTGGGGCCTGGGACGCACAAGCTGGTATGGGCATGAGGCTGAGCCACCTGCCCCCTCTGCCCGCAGCCCGGAGGCCCAGGTCTGTCTGACAGCCGCTCTCTCAGCTCCAGCTCCATGGACCTCTCCCGACGAAGCTCCCTCGTGGGCTAATCCTGAAGGGGCAGCTAGTCCCCAGAGCCTCATCCCGTCGTGTCCCAACCCCAGCCCTGCGCATGGGCCCGCTGCTTGTCCCACCTATCTCTCCCAAGGTCCCTGTCTTTTCTGTTCAATCTCAGGGTAACCTCCTCTCTGGTCATCTCAGCCTGAACCCCGGAGGCTGGGCCTGCCCGCTCTGTCCCTTATTTATTCCTTCTAGCAGGGCCCCTCCTCCCCAGGTCCGGGTGGGCAGGAGGAGCTGCCAGGAGTGTCCACCCTTCCCAGACCCCAGAGCCAAGAACGCTAAGCACCTGCAGTCCTTTCAGTGCCCTTGCCCTCCCCTCCCCATCCCACCCTTCCCTCCTGGCCGTTGCTTCTGTATATAGAGAAATAAGTTATTGGCCGCGTCCCTTCCTTCAGTCCATGGTACTACCCGGGCCTCCCTCGTCCCGCCCTTCTCCGTGGTACCGCCCAGGCCTTAATCACCCCATTCTGCGCGGTGGTATCTCCCAGGCTCCACGTACCCAGGAGCGGCGTTTCCCCAAAGCGTTCCCGGGCCTCTCGCGCTCTTCCTGGCCTCCAGGGGACCCGCCCTGCCCTGGCCGCAGGACGGAGGATCTTTCGCTCGCGCGCGCTCCGCGGAGCCTGCCTGGTGTCCCAGCCCTATGCACTGCCCCTCCCGCCTCGCCACGCCCCCTCCGCGCCTGCAGCTTCCGCGAGCGGCCGTGACTGCCCTCGGCGGGAGGGGCCGCCCCACATGTGGGGCCTCGGCGGTCGCTTTCTATTTTCAAATGTTGCTGTAGAAATAAAGACGGTTTGAATCTGAGACGGGCTTGCTTTCAGGCAGAGGCCGAGGGCCCCTAGGCGTGTCCGAATCGAGGTGAAGTGGGAGCACGGGTGGGTGTGTACACGCGCGTGTCTTGCCCGGTCCTGGCCGCCCAGACAGTGCCTCTATCTCGGAGTTGTTTGGGCTCCGCAGATTCAGGATTTCTTCTAAAACCTTCACTCCCGGGGTTCTGGAGCGCGCAGGCTTTGATGAGCTCTGTTCCTTAGTAAGGGATTTGACTTTGAGCGAGTTTACCGAGACTTGATTTTTTTCTTCTGTAAAATGTGGATAACATGGCTCGGCGCCTGTGGCTCAAGCGGCTAAGGCGCCAGCCACATACACCTAAGGTGGCGGGTTCGAATCCCCAGCCCGGGCCCGCCAAACAACAATGATGGCTGCAACCAAAAAATGGCCAGGCGTTGTGGCGGGCGCCTGTAGTCCCAGCTACTTGGGAGGCTGAGGCAGGAGACTCGCTTGAGCCCAGGAGTTGGAGGTTGCTGTGAGCGTGATGCCATGGCACTCTACCCAGGGGGATAGCTTGAGGCTCAGTCTCAAAAAAAAAAAAAAAAAAAAAAAAAAAATGTGGATAACATCATACTAGGATGAGTTAGGAGCGCCCGCACATGAAGAACTCTTGATGAATGAGCTTTTACTAGTCTGTTGCTAGCACCCACCTCTGGTTTGATACTCAAACTGAGAGAGAAGGACCACCTATTCTGTCAGACCAGAGCGCCGCCAGGCTCCCAAACGCGGTCCTCAACCGGGTTCGTCGGGTGCAAACTACAAGCCCCAGAAGGCAATGCGCCGGCGGCGTGGGGGCGAGGAGGCGCAGGCTCACCGGATTACGCTTGCGCAGCGCCGTAAATTGGACGACAAGGGAGACTACAAGTCCCGAGAAGCAGCGCGGCAAGGCCCCAGTCGGGGTCGTTTGCGCCTGCGCGCTGCGGACGGGGCGGAGCGGCCACCATCTTGGAACGGGAGGCGGAGCAGAGTCGACTGGAAGCGACCGAGCGGGCCGCCACCGCCGCCATGAACCCCGAATAGTGAGTGAGCCCCGCCCGCGCCGTGCGCCGCAGCCTCGATCCCGAGTACGGGACTGTACGCTTACCGGGGTTGTCTGGCCCGGGTCAGGGCTGCGCGGCGCCCCCACATCCGGGTCCCTCTTCCTCTGACCCCCCCCCCCGACACACACATCCGGGTCCCGCCCCTCCCCCCGGGGACCTGAAGACCCCGGCTAGGCGCCTGGTGTCCTCGTACCCGGAGCTTACACGGCGACCTACAGAAGTAGCACTTGCACCCTGAGGCACTGGTCCTACCAGGCCTTAGCAGTCAGGTGACCCTGCAGCTCCAGTCACTCCAGGCCTCAGTTTCCCCACCTGCTGCTTGATCGCGGTCCCGGCGTTTTGGAACCCGTCACGATAATTTATGGCCTAGCGTTCAGGGTTGGCCATGTAGATTGGTTAGTGGTCCCCCTGCCCTTCTCTTTCTCCTGGAACCGGATTCTTGGGGCCAGGCTGAAGCGCCTCCTAGGTCGCAGCACCCGCAGATCCTCCTCTAGGGCCTGCTTCCTGCCCCTTGCCTGGGTCGCGCCGTCTTGTCACTCCCAGTGGCCTTTCCTTTCCCGCCCTTCCCTTTGCTCGGGCCCCCAGTGCCACTGTCACGAAGTTGAGGTGCCTGGAATATGCTATCCACCTTCCAGTGGGATTCCTTGGTCCTCAGACTTTCCTCACTTTTTGGTCTTTTCCCCCTTGCGCAGGTGGCCCACCTCTGTGTCCCAGACTTGTAGTTTGCCCGAGTGTCGGTTGTCTTCTTTCTCTTCAGCCACTTCCTTTTTCTTCTCCAGATCCAGCCACTGGGTTTCCTTGTGGAAGGGGGAGGTCTGAGCTGGCAGGGAACCTGCAGGCTCTCAGAGACTCCCGAGTCCAACAGACCTGGTTGAGTCTGAAAGTTATCTCAAGGCAGGTCACTGTCACTTCCCTTCTCTGATTTCTGGCTGCCTCATTAGTCAGGAACAGCAACACTCCCTTCATTGGACTGCTGTGGGGATTAAATGAGGTGCATTTGGGGTACTATGTTACAAGTTGGAACTCAACAAATATTACATGTGATTTTTGTCACCACTTGTTGACCACATCTTTTTGGGGATGTCTTGTCATCCTCTTCATATAGCTTTTTCACTTAATTGGTCCAGGATTGGGCCTGCTTTCCACTCCTGGGGCTGCACCTGCCAAGCTAGGCACAGCACAGGATGTGGGGTGGGTTGTCTAAAAGCCCATACTGGACCGAACCATGGAGGCTATCAGGAATCAGGAGAGAACACCAAGCTTTGTCACCTTGGCACGTTATGTATCTCTCTGTGCCTTGAAGAGAAACTGAGACACAAAGACATGGCAGAATGTGAGCCCTCTGAGCTATCTGTGTTATGGTGTAGGGTCAGCCCTCCTCAACCCAGATTGTTGGGAGGATCTGGTGAGCAGCATTATGCCCTACACCAAGCCTGCCTCATGACGTTGGGGAGATGTTGTGACTGTGATTTCAGGATGATGGTAGTGGGCTTCCTGCCTTCATGCCTTCTGATCCTCTCTCTCCAGTGACTACCTGTTTAAGCTGCTTTTGATTGGCGACTCAGGCGTGGGCAAGTCATGCCTGCTCCTGCGGTTTGCTGTGAGTAAGAAGCCTCCCATACCATCCATCTGGGGCCCTAGCTGGCGGCTGGGAGGAAAGGGGCAACCCAGAGCACAGTAGTTGTGAGGCCTGGGAAGCAAGGACAAGTGTGCAGGACAGCAAGACATCTGCCTAAACAGAGGAACAGGGCTGGCAAGTTGGGTGCTAAGAGCTGGGACTTGGCAGTTAGTATCCCAGCTGGGACAAGAAGCTGGAGGGAGGCTATCCAGATAGGCCCTGGGCATGATCACTCAGGCCATTTCATTGGCCCCTGACCTTCCAGGATGACACATATACAGAAAGCTACATCAGCACCATCGGGGTGGACTTCAAGATTCGAACCATTGAGCTGGATGGCAAAACTATCAAACTTCAGATTGTGAGTGTCACTTTCCCCAAAACCCTTGGGACAGAGGCATCTGTCTTGGGAAGGAGTGCAGGACTGACTTCCTTTGCCTGCTGTCTTTTAGTGGGACACAGCCGGTCAGGAGCGGTTCCGGACCATCACCTCCAGCTACTACCGGGGGGCTCATGGCATCATCGTTGTGTATGACGTCACTGACCAGGTACTCGCGGACTAACCGTCCTTAGCTTTGCCTCCTCAGCCTTAGGTCTTTGACTCTTGCTGCTTTTATCTCTTTCTGTCCTCTCTTTCCTGATGCTTCCTGGAAAGGAGACTGTATTTGGACTCATCTCACAAGGAGAGAAACGGCCACAGAAATGGATCCTTCCAAGGTCCTGCTGCAGGGTCTTGGCAGAACCAGGCCTCACATCTTCCCTCTCCACCAAACTTGCCATCTTACTGTCAACCTTCCAGCAACTGTTGTGGGAGTTTAGTCATCTGGGGTTGGCTCCTGTGCAGGGTTGTGGCTTCCTGTGTGAAGACACTGGGGGAAACAATTAGAGGGCCTCAGACAAGGAGGGGAGGGAGCCTTGAGTGCTGAGCCCAGTGTGAGCAGGGGTCTAGCAGCCCTGTGTCTCCTGGGGCAACTTTAGTCATGTCACTGGCAGCCGTGTGACAGCAACATCCTGAAATGGTCCCATCAAACTTTATAGTTTGTAGAACTTGTCAAAGCCTTTAAGTTGCCTTCTGATGCTCCTAAGTAGCCTGTGTCACATTCCCATCTGAATAGATAAGAAGTTGAGTTTGGGATTATAAGGTGACTTGCTGAGGCCCAGTTCAATGGCAGAGTCAGAAAGACTTGTTTGCTGATTCCACCAGCTTTGTTTTTCCTACCAAACCTTGTGGCTCAACAGGGGCCAGGCCCTGGGGACGTGGAGAACTTCACATCAACCCTGGGCCAGGAGGAATCCCTACCTGAGGGGCAGCTGGGCTCCAGCTCACAGGGACTCAGCTCTGGACAGGCCATGGGTGAGCTGTCCGCCATCCAGACAGAGGTCACCAAGGCCCTCCTGGCTGCCAAATGTAGTGACCTCATTTAAGCTCTTGCCCTGAGTAATCTATTGTGGCTTTTAACTCCATTCTATTCTATCTCCGTAAAAAGTTTACGTCCTCGGCTCCCAACCTCCTGCTGCGTTTGGTTCTGTCTATCACCCTGTGCTGTTCCCTACAACCTTGTATTTTGTGTTTCCTGAATGCCCCAAGTGTCTTTACTTGCCCTGCACAGTTCTGATCACTTCCGTGGTTCAGCTGTGTCTTCTGTTCTGTGATTCCTATATCTGAACAGTTGTCACTAGACAACTCTCCTCCATGCTGGGTCTGTGCTGGCACTTGGTATCTGTGTTCATTGTCATCCTCAGTCTTTTTTTTTTTTTTTTTTTTTTTTTGAGACAGAGCCTCAAGCT